AGCTCAATGGGTCGTTATGAGGGAATGGAAGAAAAATTGTTTTGCAAAAATTAAAAAAAGATGTTCCAAAAATAAATGTCTTGCGGGCATAAAAATTTTTTGAATTGCATTGTGATACTTCTGGTACATTTACTGGGGAAATTTCTTTGACTTACAAGGGAACCTCAAGTTGGCACGGTGGAATTTCGAAAAACGCTCGCGGCTACCCCTAGGTTTTCGACTATGGCGATTCCAACGGTCCAGTCAGAATTTCCTTAACGGGCCTCTGGACAGAGATACAGCACATCCGGAAAATGGTAATTTGCATCTGAAAAATTAGCATCGGCGATAGGTTTATGAGGCCCTCCCATCACTATGGAATCACCAGTTGAATGGCCGAGTGGTAAGCGACTCGCTTGATTGAATACTGGCGCGGGTTCGAACCCGCTCACGATTTTTTATTTTGCTTTTTGACCGGAACTTCCTGCACAACTCTAACTTTTCGTTTTTACTATAAGAAAACTTTTTGGCGATGGCTCCAGGCTGACTACTCCAAAGAAGCTTCAAAAATTCGCAAAAATTATGCGAACAGCTAGGTGTTCCCATCTCCGTTCTTTTACAAATGGGTCACTCGGATGAGATTTTTTGAATTTTTTGGCCGCTAACGCTTTTAGACATTCAGAAACAGAACGAAACAGAGGACATTCAGATTCAGAAACAGAATTTTCGAAAAAAGTAACCAAAACGTGGAGTTGTGCAGGAAGTTCCTGTCAAAAAGCAAAATAAAAATCGTGAGCGGGTTCGAACCCGCGCCAGTATTCTATCAAGCGAGTCGCTTACCACCCGGCCACTCAACTGGTGATTCCATAGTGATGGGAGGGCCTCATAAACCTATCGCCAATGCTAATTTTTCGGATGTAAATTATCATTTTCCGGATGTGCTGTATCTCTGTCCAGAGGCCCGTTAAGGAAATTCTGACTAGAGCGTTGGAATCGCCATAGTCGAAAACCTAGGGAAGCAAAGGAGCTGCTTATGCGAAATTCCACCGTGCCAACTTGAGGTTCCCTTGTTAGCAGCAAAATTTTATTCAATCTAAGGGCGAGCGTTTGCGTTGCGTTCGGCGGATACGGAAAAAAATTTCGGCAATAGTCCAGTTCCTGTCAAATGGTACATTTAATAATAATAACAATTCTTCAAATCAAGGTTTCAAAGACCAACTCCTAAAAGTGAGGGAATAGGGTATGAAAACAAAGGCAAAAGAGAAAGCGAATGAAGGTGATTCCGACTAAAAGAGGAAAGTATTGGTGATGATGACGGTTAGGGAGATAGATTGAAGAAAGACAATATATAGACTTTTACGTATCACTTAAAAATGTTAGGTTCCACCAAATCTCCGGATGTCGGTGAAACTGTGGTCCTTAATCGGGACCGCAGGACGAAGTCCGGACTTTGATCAAGTAAATTCGCGCAGACGCTGCAAACGAAAAGTCAGTTGAAAGCCGGCTTTGGAATTTTCTACACATATCGGAGGAGCCCTTTTAGATGTAGAGCACATATCTCGAGTTCTAACAACGTCGAAAGGTTTTTGAACTTTTAACTGGCAAAAGTAACTCTCAAAAACTTTTTACAAACTTTAAAAGCAACTTGTAGAAACTTTTAAACAAACCCCACTTTTAATAACAGCTAAATGATCAACGTCTTTTTCTTTATATCGTGAGACTAAAGCTCGGGTTTGTAGCAAAAAAAGGTCAAAAAAAAATTCGTACGGGGTTCTTTCAAAAACCATGGAAACAAAACCAGTTGTTTCCAATTAATTTTGTCTGAAACAAAGTGGAAACCCTCGCCCGCGTGCTTCGCCGATGTGGAGAAAAGCAATGCATCTCAAAATTTCCGTCTTTTTTATGTGCAACGACCTCCATTCAAACCTTCTCAACTCATCCCCTGCATTTTTCAGCCCATTTCCTTGGATGATCGTTGAAATTTGGGTATTTTCGATGGTAGTATTGTAGTAAAAGTAATCAAAAGAATAAAAGCGTTGCGGGACCTCGGACATACTTCCAAAGATGGTTCATCTGCTTTTTTTTCATATTTTTTGTCGTCGTCATATTTTTGCAATTGCAACTTTTTCAGTTTTGTTTCACAGCTGCAATTCTATTCGTTAGTAACAAATTTTCTTGCTGTTTACTTTAGGTATTTCATTTAACTTCTTTTTGCGTTACTTTGCTTCGATTTGACTTTTTCAGATGTCCAGCGCAGACCCGAACAACAACAATAATCTGCTGAGCGCCTTCCCGACGTTTGACGACTTCCCGGAGACGCCCCCGAACGAGTCGCCACCATCATCACCCCTGCGTTCGCCCAGAAATGACGAGAGCCTAGCATCCGGTAAGCTATTTATCTTTTACTAGCGTTTTTAGCTAAATTCTAGTTTTCCTAGCCCCTCAGACACGTCGAAATTAGTTTACTAGCTTTATTTTCCGCTATGTTTACTCAATTAAATCAAGGCTAGCATTTTGACCTACTTTACAGCGTTTTAGCACAAAGGGGAGCCGAATAAACCGTTTTTACTATTTATCTTACTCGTTTTTAGGCAGCCGCGAATTCAGCCGTGAAGTGAGTCGCTCAAGCTCGCCCCGATCGCCTCCGTCTTCACCGGAAACGGATGAAGAGCCAGGATCCATAATCGAAGCCGTGACAAGCGCAAAACACTTGGAACTGGGCGATCAGGTTGCGTTTTACTTCCCTCCTTAATTAACCCTTCTTAGGTGGTCATGTTGAAGCTGCCGAAATCCGTGTCGCTGGCCCACCAGCAGTTTGACAGCGAAACTTACGCTGAAGATGACGATCCGCATGGCCAGGCTCATCTTTACCCAACACAAAAGGTAAATGGTTATCGGGGAATTAGACAAGTTCTAAATGTTCTAAACCACGAGGAAATTTATGTTTTAAATAACTGATTGGACTTGACAAGTATGCTCTGATGTCTTTTCTTTCATTTAGCATTTTTTGGTTTGCCACCCGGGCAATAACTTACTAATTACCCGTTTGAAAGAGAAAAACTCGAAGATTATAAAAACTAAACTAAAGGTTAGGAAGCACGGTTAACGCTCTATATTTTGAATTCTAACCGTTTCTACGAACTTTTTCTAACGTTGTTTTCCAGGACACAAACGTGGTACGTTGGCGCACCGTCGTCGACAGGGACGGCACCGAGCGTAGAGAGAGCAATGCCAGTGTTGTCAAGTGGTCGGATGGAACGTATGATACTTGCAGTTAATCAAAACTTGTTTTTAGGATGTCGCTGCGCATCGGCGACGAGTACTACGATTTTGGCTTGGCCGAGGCAAGGGACTGTCACGTTTTCTCGAGGCAAGGCCCGGCCATGGTCGCCCAGGGATTGCTTCCGGAACGAGTCGTCTTCCGCCCGCACTCCAATTCGAATATACAGAACGCGGTAGGAGTTGCGACTTACTAATAGCGTTTTTTTCTATTCTTTTGCTATATCGAGCGACCTTTCGTTGCCCAATTTTTCAAATTGCGCTAGTTAAAATGTTTCCTTCTGTTTTTTTTCATTATTTCTAGACGTAAAAACTTTACAAATAGGTGCTCAAAATAAGAAAAATACGCATTGTGAGCAAAATTTCAAATCGTCAGAGTTTTTTCGTAGTTTTTTTGAACAGTTTTTTGCTACTCTAGTAAAATGATGTGTTAGAGAGTGGTTAAATATTTTCTATCATATTACTAAGCTTATTTGACTTTACAGAGATAAAATCAGAACGCACCCCCCCATAACGGGAAAGAACCACAATTTTTTTTAGATTACACGGGCTGCAACGCCAAGAGTCCCACGCAGTGCAGGCATCCGAGTGATCACCAACAATGAAATGAACCCCGAAGTGGGAAGAGAGGCAGGTTATTACGTAGCTTTTCCTCATCTATTCTTTTCAGGAAGTCGTGCGCGAAGAGCAGCGAAAACTGCGGCAAGCCATCAAGGCCCAACATATCACACATGCGCGCGGCGGCCGTGATCGCGAATACCGGGCATACCATTACGAAATTGATGACTACGGTATCTTATCTTATCTTATCGGAAATTTATTTAATTCTTGCAGACCAAGACTCCGACGAGGGGCTGACGCGCCGCTCGTGGGCATCGACGGCTGGCACGGTGCCGAGTGACAGCGAGCAAGGGCCCGGCCGTTTCCTCGAATCATCGGACTCTGATGAGGTACTTGTTCGATTCTTTCGCAATATCGAGGAGAAAATATTCATAGACGTAAACTTTACGCATTTTTATTAAAATTTATCAAAAAGATCGTTTTTCGACCAAAAATTGGCGGCTTTTGGCCAAAATGTCGACTTTTTGAAAAAATTTAACGTTTTTAGATCGTTTTTCTAGCTCAAATTCCGTTATATTTGACTAAAAACACTATTGAAACTCCTATTAGGTTACTACGATTTCTAGACTTATACAAAAAAGTTCGGCTTCCCCGCCATAATGGGAAAGAATCTTTGTAGAAATTTGCTAGGTTTTCTAAACGTTTTTCCGTTTGAATATGGGCCAAATTTTATCAAAAACGCCACAAAACACTTGCGATTGCATTTGCTTATCGATGTAAGCAAGGCCCCGCTGATATTAACAAAGCAGCATTTGTTCTTGAGTTCGGCTACAATGCTGTTTAGGAATCGCGACGCATTCGGGAGAAACCGAAGAAACTGGTGGTGCAGGACAGCGACGACGACGACGAATAGATTGGAAATCGAACGCATCGCACGGGTATCGCCGCCTAATCATTTGTTGTTAGAGCATTTTCTTATTTTGCGTTGATAAAGTTTGTTTTAATGTCCCACAGTTGTCTGTGGGTGTCAGTTGGCGACGATATGCGTGAACGTTTATTTAAAATTGTTGTTAATCAATTAAAAATTTCGAAAATGTTTTGTCACCGGTAACAAAATCTGATGAAAGGCAACGAGAGGGTAAATGAACATTTAGCGGATGGGGATACAGCGTTAGGCTTCAACGCTCAGTTAGCCGATCAAATGAATCGTCGTCTTCGGAGGAAGACTCGGAAAGATCGGGCATGTGGCTTGTCGGGCACTCCCAACCGGGGGAGGATTGTTGGCGAGGAGCACGAGATTTTTCCGAGGCGAGGCTTCTGACATGACGAAGCAGCTCGCGCACCGTGCTGGGCTTCAATGATGACGTATCCAGTGCGACTTCCCTCGTCTTTTCAGCAATGTTCTAAAAAAGGGTAGGGATTCGATTCGATTAATTTTTAGTAAAAAAGACTACATCCCAATAGAAAAACTATCCAAAAACAAAAAAGTAGAAATTTTGGCAAAAATCGGCCATTTTTCGTCGACAAATCAATATCTTTGAAAGTTTTACGAACAATTCCGTAGTTTTTACGCTTAGGAATAGTAAAACAGATTCTAAAAATATTTTCGCTTTTAGATTTTAAAATTGGGTCCTAAGAAAAGAAAACTACAAAAAATCCGATGAAGCTAAACCCTTACCGAGCCCTCCAGTGCGTCGACGAGTTCAGCAAAATGGTGCATTTCACGTGGCGTGAGTCGTGGAACCGCCTCCCTCAGCTCCTGCTGTTCCTCCATCGTTAGCGCCGGGCCCTTGTTGCCAAGTCGGTAGGCGGCGCGCGGCTTGTCCTGCTTCTTCAGCTTGACCTTCTTGGGCTCCGGGTGCTCGGCGTCTTCAGCGATCAATTGTTCGATCTTCTTCTCCAAGGCTTTCGGCACCAAGGCGCCCGGCGCTAGCGCCATCAGCTCCCGGCGAAGCGCCGCCGATCTCTGCAGCCAATCCTTGCGACGCTTCTCCCACACTTCCATTTGCTTCCTGTAGTCATCGATCGCTTCGGCTCGGCTCGTCCCGGAAGAAGTTGCCTTGTTATTGTTGTTATTGGGAGGCTAAAATACCAAATTAATGAAAAGTAAGATGAAAAAAGTAACCTTTGCCGAATAAATTTGAGCCCATTGTTCTTTGATGAACTTTTCCAGTTGTCGTCCGGCCTGGTGGACCATATCGAAGGGCGGGTTGTACTTGAAGCAGTTGTCCAGCATCAATTGAAGGTCGGCCATAAATTCGTCGGCGTTCACGTACTGTCTAAAATAAAAATATCACACGTGACGTGAATTCCGGTTCTTTCACTAGTTTTTATCGATTCCTACGCGTAAAAACGTCACAATTATGATTGCAAGCTCCAAGAACACTGATTTTTGACCAAAAGTTGACATTTTCAAGCACTTTTTGAGTTTTAGAATAAGTTTTTTCCGCTTGAAAGCTAAGGTATGACAATGCTAGGTATACAGAAAACTATTTAGGATCGAATTTTTACCAATCTGGTTAAATTAAGAGCTTTCAGATAGTTTTTAGCGATTCCTAAACGTAAAGACTGCAAAATTTTGATTGCACGCTGGACGCACATTGAACCTTGGACGAAAATTTGACCTTTTCAAGCTGTTTTCAAAGTTTTTTAACTAGTTTTCCCCCTGAAAGCTAAGTTATGACATTACTTGGTATACGGAAAGCTACGCCCAGGAAAAATCGCTAGTAGAAAACCCAAAAAGCATCTGTTTTACCTGTAATCGAGCTTCTTTCGAATCGTGCTCAGATCGATGGGCTGTGTGACGATGTCGTAGTAGTCGACAAGCCCCAAGCGCTCGACGTCGACAGGGTAGTAGAAATAGAAGGCGAAGTGCTGAAACAAAATTCAAAATTGACGAACAGCAAATAGGGCCATACCTCTGCGTCTTTGGCCATTATTCGTTTGTGAAGCTGCCCACAGGCTAGCAGATCTTCCGGGACCGGCCCTTTGAATCGTGGATTATCATAGTCGATCATAGGCTGTTTTCGTTTACGTCTTGACTAAAAAAGCAACAATTCGAAGAAAAACGAGCGCTTACATGTCGCACACTCGTGCTCGAAGTGGACGCGTCGGTGGCGGTGGGCGTGTTCATCTCATCCGCCATTGGGCTAACGATTTCCGCTTCAACGGCTGACATTGTCGAGGCGCTAGTGCTAGTCTGGAAAAAATAAGCATTACCGAATCAAGAATGGAAAAAGTAGCAACAAGAAATGGGAAATGAAAGAAGCATTAAGCTCATCGAAGGGAAAGTTTTGATTATGAAGGTCGAGCCATTTTCAACTCTTTTATCCTTACAAGATTGGTTTTTAGATGTTTATTTCGCAGTTTTTCGCAGTTTGCAGTTCCCGGTTCTGTTCTATTTCGCGTGGGGGAAAAAACTGTGCGGGGGGAATTTTCTTCGTTTTTTTTTTTTTTGAAAGTTATCGAAAATGTCGAAAACTAGCTTTCGACTCCACGATCCCATGTGGAAACACCGAATAAACCTTGTTTTTGCTATAACTATTTTATAAAACAATATTTTTAGATGAAATTAAAACTCTGAGTATATTTTTTGATGCTCTATCGAATGACGGGTTCAAAATATCAAAAAACTGGCGAAAATGTCGAAAACTAACATTCCGGAACCAGTTTCAATAGTTTTTTTTTTGTTTTTGCTATAACTTTTTATATTACAATATTTTTAGCTAAAACAAAAACTCTTCGTATATTTTTTGATGCTCTATCGAATGGCGTTGCAAAAATCCCGAGAAAATAGCGAAAAGATGGAAGGTTCCGCGAAGCATATTCCCCCGCACAGTTTTTTCCCCCACGCGAAATAGAACAGAACCCAGTTCCCAATTGCTTAGCTGTTCGTTTGATGAGCATTTCAAGCTCTATCAGACGAGCAATGTCACATGGCAAAACGTTGAAAAGGACCTAAAATCCAGTCTCTTTTCACACAAAAACATCAAAGGCGTCATAAGATTCATGAGTCACCAATTTCACCCCGGTTGACCTAGTAAGCAAATATAAAGTGTTTTCGAATTGTTTTTAGTAAGTTTTAACTATATTTAAAGCAGAAGAACTTTCAGAAAAATTTAGAAAAATGTTTGAAAAAGTCGAAAATTTGGTCATTTTGAGTCTAGGCTTGTGCCGAAAAAAATTTGGTTTGGCCGAAAAACAACGAGCTCCCAATTCCCATCAGCGAAAAGTGACAAAAAAGTCGAAATTCGGGAGCGGCTGCAGTAAACTACGCGCAGTACTTATTTACGCCCTCGCGCAATACCGTCGAAATGTTGTTTTATAGTGCGCCTTCCCAAGAATTTGAAAGAATTTTTGGTTTGATGGGCTAAAAATTCATTAATCAAAACCCTCAATGAAAGAAAGCGAATACTACGAAAAAGAACGGCGATTATCAACTGTTCTCAACCGCCGAAACCGTTTTTCTCTGAAACACTGTCCCGGCATAAGTATAGTAGGGAAAATGTGGTATGTTTAGAATCCAAGTAAAAATTAGAATCCGTAGGTGCCTGTACTACATTCTGTGGCGCTAGGCTTCAAGATTCCTTGGATCATTTCGCCCTTTTTCTTCCAATCCAGCGGTCGTTTGTCGAGCGATGGATCGAGGTAAATGACTTTCGACTTTTCTATCTTCTCTTGTTTGGTGCTGCTTTGTACTAGAGGGCTGTAAAGTAGATCAAAACGTCCGCTTTGGAGTGGACAAATAGCGCGAAACTAACGAAAATTGGGTTCCCCAGCCGGCCTCCAATTTTTTGTCTCGGTTCTCCTATATGCTACAGAGCTGTTTGGTATACCAAAATGTTCGTCTTGCTCTGGCGAGCATTTTGGTAAACTTTACAGCAATGTAAAACAACGAGGAACGGAGATACAAAAGTTGCGTGAGACCGGGGGTATCTGCCGTTTAGCCGAAATTGAGGTGAAAGAAACTGAAACTCGGTTTGCGAGGGCGGGGTAATTATTCTCGACTAAAACATTCTTTTTCAGAAGGGTCGTCGACGCGTTTGAGGGCCGGAAAAGGCGGAGGTGGCGGAGGTGGTGGAGGCCACGGTGGTGGTGGCGGCGGAGGCCACGGTGGTGGCGGCGGCGGAGGCCACGGCGGCGGCGGAGGCCACGGCGGCGGTGGAGGCCACGGCGGCGGCGGAGGCCACGGCGGCGGTGGAGGCCACGGCGGCGGTGGACATGGTGGCCATGGCGGCGGCGGAGGTCACGGAGGAGGTCACGGCGGTGGCAGCGGCCACGGAGGACATGGCGGCGGACACGGTGGTGGCCACGGCAGCCGCGGAAGTGCCAGTCATAGCTCCAGCCATAGCGCCACACACAGCGCGCCACGCGAGGCCCCGCCTGCGCATGGGGCTACGGTATTCATAAATTTTGCCATAAGTTTTTCCTTGGTTCTCGTCAACACAATTCACGGCTCAAGTCTAGGAACTCCCCCCCCCCCCAGGGGAGATACAAAAGTTGGTGCCGGCTGGGGGGGGTCTCTTACCCAATTCACTAGAAATTACTTTTGGTGCTTCCAGGTTTGGTGTCGGGGCGGTTTCCACTTTTTTCTATTATCTCGTGCGGCCCGACTAAAAAACGTTTACCCTTTTTATAGACTTGTACGCCGTTTCAAGTGGTGCTGGGCTGTTAGCGGGGGAGGCGACATGAAGAAAAACATCACAAAACATGCTGAAAATGTTTGGCTTTTTCGGTCTGACGTGTCTGAAAATTGTAACTTTGCGATTGCAGGATAAATCTTTCGTAATTTTTGGTTACCGGAAAGTATGAAAAACATTATTAAAATAAACTACGCTTTTTCACCAGGCAAGCAAAGGCTAGACAAAGAAAAGTTGGCAACCGCCCCACGTTGACCTGGAAGCACCTTATTTTTAGATTTCTAACTTTCCTGGACATGTATGGTTCTTAGAAATTCCATGGAAAACTTTAAAAACTGTTCAGGGTCATACCAACAACACCTCACACCACAGCGCTCCACGCGACACCTCGGCCCCGCGTGGATCTACGGTACTCTTACCTTTGAGCCGCAAATTTTGAGTTTATCATATACATCGACTTTGCAGGCCAATTCCAACAGCAATACAAGCCAGATCGCTAGTCGCAGTGCGCCACGCGACACCTCGGCCCCGCGTGGATCCACGGTAATTTTTTTGTATTTAGGAGCTGTAATAAATCGAGCAACGGATCGAACTTTAGCAGGGAAATACCAGCAAGAGCACCAGCCACAGCGCGAGCCGCAGCGCGCCCCGGAACGCATCGGCCCCGCGTGGATCCACGGTAACTAGCGTTGTCGTCTCGGTTTTCCTTCGGTCATATTTACAAAAACGATTATATGATGGATCTGGAATGGATCATACCCCCGATATAGAGGGTCATTTTAGGGAATCAACAGCAGCTCAAACCAGAGTGCTAGCCGCAGCGCGCCGCGCAACGCCTCCGTCCCCCGTCGATCCACGGTAAATGTTGGGCATCTCGGAATACGATTTTAAGAGGCAATTGGCTGAGATTCCTCGCTTCAGGGGAGCGCTAACCGCAGCACCGCCAGCCGCAGCGCCAACCGCAGCGCCAACCGCCACGAGCCTCGTAACGGACGCAAGGTGATTTTTGGTTGCTGTGTGTCGAATTTCATCGGCTAAGAATTTTGGGGAAAACTACATATAATTTAGTGGGCCTCCCGATCTGAGAGCTGTGTAAAAGGCGATTAAATTCTACAGGGTGGCCAGAAAAAAAAGTGCCTGGTTTGCACTGAAATATCTCGCTAGGGGAAACGAATCGGACCATGGTTACCTTGCCAGAATGCTTAAATATGCTGGGTATGAAGAATAAACACACGTTGTTTTTTACGATTTTTGACGACCTACTCGTTAATCGTACTCGTTAAGAATTTTTGAACATTTTTGAAAAAATAGAAAACTTTGAAGCTATAAAGTATGCAACTTTTGAAGAGTGATATTAAAGTGTAGGGTATCAAAATGAAGCTGTTGGAATGCGCTAGCAAATCAGTGGTAAAGATTATCGATCGGTTTAACTAGCCGTCAATAGGAGCCTTCGGAAAATCGGCATTTTTCCAGAGAGGGCGATTCCCAGTTGACCGCAAAAAGCCCATTGTTGCCATAACATTTTGTACTTGTTACATGTAATCCTGATTGCCAAAGATAATCATGTTATAAGTTTAACTATAAGAGCGTAGAAATTACAAACTGCGTCGACTTGGCAAAGTGCCAAAAATTTTTTTGATCGCGATTTTGAAAAACTTGGTGCTAAAAGTTAGCAGGTATGTGTTTATTGCTAACTGCAAAATAGCAGAAAAATCGGATGGTAAAGAAATTTTATCTGGAATTATTCCTTCAAAAAGTGCCGATTTTCCGAACGCTCCTATTGACGGCTAGTTAAACCGATCAATAATCTTTACCACTGATTTGATAGCGCATTCCGAGAGATTCATTTTGATACCCTTCATGTCCCCCTAACTCATCAAAAGTTCCATGATTTTCCTCTTCACAGTTTTCTATTTTTTCAAAAATGTTCAAAAATTCTTAACGAGTAGTGGGTCGTCAAAAATCGTAAAAAAACAACTTGTGTTTATTCTTCATACCCAGCATATTTAAGCATTCTGACAAGGTGACGATGGTCCGATTCGTTTCCCCCAGCGAGATATTTCAGTGCAAACCAGGCACTTTTTTTTCTGGCCACCCTGTATTATATTTCCCTCTACAGGGTGTCCCAAGAAAAGTACCCCCCCCCCCCTCTGGCGGTCCGGAGGAAACTCAGATCGGGATCATTTTTACACGATTCGAAAGCTCTCGAAAAGGCGAGAAAACAAGCGGGATTGATTTTTAATTTAAAAAACGGGTAATTTTTCAACAGGAATTTCCCAATTAGCAGCAGATTACATAGATCAGCAGTTTTCCTGGTTTTCGACGTAAAATTCGCGAATAAACATACATAGGAAAGAAAATGAACCCTCCTTATTTTCTCACCTTTTCGAGAGTTTTAGATAGATACCTAAACCTTGAAAATCGAAGACGAAAGCGCGCCGCTAGGCGGTGTACTTTTTTTGGAACATCCTGTAATCTCTACAAGCTATCAATACCTGCAGCTAAATTCTTTTTTCAGAGACATCGCTCTTCCCGCCGGCTAAATAAATACGTACGTTCCACAACCAACGTGCAAATCCAGTCACCTTTTGCAGCGCGGCTGCAGCTCGTCGGCTCGCGAGGACAAGTGGCTCACAAAAAAGCCCAACAAAGGCAGAAAGCCTCGGGCCAAGGTATCTTTTTCTCATTTCGGTTGATACTGCGTTTCTGAAAGCCCGACAGTAATTTTGGATTTATTTTTATTTTTCCAGCTGCTCGACTCGAATTGCCCTTGCCCCAGCGGCCAGCCGAAACTCTGCTTGCCGATCATCCCGATTCTTGCGGGGGCCGTGGCTGCGGCTTCGGTAACGGGTGTTCAAGGATATAACATATGAACCAGGGTTCTTTTGTATTTCGCTGCCGCAATTAAAAAATAGTTTGCAGAAATTTGGAAAGCGCCAACCATTTTCACCCCCCAAAAGTATCGTGGCACAAAGTTTTAAAAATATTTGATGCCATTTGGATCGTGCATACTCATTTCTCCAGAGTATCTGTTTATTCCCTAAAATCCTGGAGAGAGAGAAAGAGAGAGAGAAAGAGAGAGAGAGAGAGAGAGAGACGCTTTTAAGTTATCCTCATCGTCATCGTCCCCACGCCCAACTGTCAGGCTTCAGAGCCCTTCCTCGGCCTCGAGCCCGATCAACACCTCCATCACGCAGCCCACTGATACTGCAGCTGTAACGTTTTGAATTTTCCAGTTGACGGAGAGTCAGTTAATATGCTAAGAAGATTTTATAACTCTAAAAGTAATGTTCTACTGTTTCTTGAATGAACATTGAATTTTATTAAAATATCAACTATCTTGTCCTGCGTCAGCTCTCTGGCCAGGGCCGTCGCTCGACATCGACCTCCTCGGCCCCGTTCGATCGGCCGCCACCGATCGTTGCCGAAATCACTGGGCCCTACCGTGTCACCACGAAAAGCCGCTTCGAGAAGCGCGCCGGCGAGAAGCTATTTGTCGAAATGGTACTGTAACTAGAAAAGAATATTCTCTACTTCATAATATAGACGATCGACCTGATGGGCGTCAACGATCCGACGCGCCGTTACGAGCAGATCATGGGCCGTCCCGTCAAAACCACCCGGATTACGGTAGAATTTTATCGACTGTTTATTTGCAAAATTGTTTAGCGAACTTTAAAATTTGCTGAAACATTTTTTATACCTAAAATTTAAATTTGGCTTTCTGGTAAAAACGTCGGTTCTGGTTTGTTAGCGGGGGGGGGACTCTCAATAGGCCTATTGGAAAAGGGAGTTGGCATGGCCCCCCCGGCTAATGAACCAGAACCTAAACGGCTTTACAGTAGCATTCGGATCAGGGGCTTTTTATATTATCTTCGACACTCGATCGTGAACTTTATCAGGTTGTTGAAACATTTTCTCCTCACGCCCCAATTTTGGTTTTATTCTACAGATTATGACAGAATTTTGGGTGTAAATTTAAATACATAAGGTGCGCTAAATTTGTTTTCAAATTTGATAGGAAACCTGGAATTTGATGCAACATTTTAAAATTAAAATCACAATAAAATACGTTAAGACAAAATAAGCAAATCTATTTAATTTAGTACTTTAAAAATTAATTTTGTTGACCCGCTCAGATTAATGAAAAAGGATTAAATACTACTAAATTAGAGTCAAAAAATTTTCGCCAGGGTTTTTTTACCATTTTGTATGATGTAGGGGGAAGAAAATTATTCTCTCGGCAACCGCTGAAGTTGATGTACGAAATTTGGGTATCGATTGCCTTCAAAATGTTATTAGGCAAGCTCAAATATATTTGAAACATGCAAAAGGTTAAAATGTTTCATCTAAAATGTATATAAAAAGCTATTTCTTTTTTCCAATCTCTTCATGTCTCTTCTTATGCCACAACATTTTCATTTTTTAAAGGGTTAGATTGTAATGTTATTTATTTTGCCCTTGATGGTACACAATTTTTTTTATAATTACTTTTGAACAACAAAAACAACAATCCATAAATTTATTCTTTTGCAGGACAAGATGTGCCCGGAGCCCGAGGGCGGTCAGATGTTGGTGGCGCCCGAGATGGCGCAGCTGAAGTACTCGGTCGAGTTGCCGCTGGGGGAGCCCGTCGATTTTGATTGGGTATACTGTATCACGCTCGGATTACGGTATTTTCCCCAATCTTTAGGAACAACAATTCGCCACCACCCCCCAGCAGCCCATCCCTCTCAACTTTCAGCCCGTCACCGGGGCCGACAAACCGGGTATTTTTGGGGATTTTTTGAAACATTAAAACTCTAAAAAATCGAGACACGAAACCCTGGAAAATATACCTTTTAATAAGTTTACTATAGAAAAAAAACTAAAAATAACGTTTTAGCCTTTTTCAAAAACTCTTGAAAACTTTTTAATATGCATGCTGAAGCTCTTATAAATTTTTGCTCGAAATTCAAAAAGCTATACCTCTGAAACTTACCGCAAAATCAGCGAGCGAATTGGGAAATGAAAATCACTTTTTTTGAAACATTAAAACTTTCCAACAGCTGCAAAATATGCCTTTTCAGAGCTAAATCATGGAAAAAACCGTCCAAACTAAGGTTTATATTATTTCTCGCCTTAAACCTTGTTTTTGATATTTATGCTGAAGCTTTTATAATTTTTTGGTCCATCCCAAAAAAATTATTCTTCTGAAATTTACCACAGAATCAGTGACCGAATTTGAAAATGAAAAATCGCTTTTTTGAAACATTTGAACTTTTTTAAGAGGTGTGAGAAGAAATTTTTGAGAGGTTGCCTTGAAAACCAGGCAAAAACCACAGTAACGTTTTGGAGACCACTACGTATTAGTGCACGTTTCGGAGTCGGCCATATTTGTGTCTCGCTGAAACATAACATTTTAAAAAACGGCTAAACGTCTAATGAAGATCCTGCATCTTGACTATCGGTTGGATTAATAAAAACAGCCAATCGGGCTGTTTTGAAACATAAAAATCCAAAAAAATTTTTGCTATAAACTTTTTAACTTTTGAAAGGTTACACTTTAACTTTAACAATAGAACAAGCAAAAATGACAATTAGCGTAATTGTGAAAAATGAAGCCACACTTTTTTAATTTAGCTGAAGCATATGCTTTTATCTGATAGGTGGGGAAATGGAAATCTACAATTAGAGGACTGAATCCAACATTTACGCAAATTTTTTTGGAACATTAAGACCAAAAAATTTTTTAATGCTTGAATTTTTGATTTTCAACAGATATAAACGCCCTTCAAAACCGTTTTTCAGCTCTCCCTCCGAAGTCTCCCACCTCGGCCTCCTCGAGCTCATCCTCCTCCGCCGATCTGCGTGGCCCACTCAACGTCGGGATTCGCGTCAGCGCGCAGCGCCGCGGCAACCTCGGCCATCTCCTCATCCGCAACGCCGTCGAAATCCACTTTGACCAGTCGACGAATCGCCCGAATGCTGTGAGAATTTTAACTTCATGACAACATCTCGACCACTACACGCGCGCTGAATGCAAAATCAAAAAATCCTGGATTTTTAAGGATTTTTGAAACATGAAATTTTTCACTGACCTGTTATTTTTGAATCTGGGATTTTTACTAGTTTCTGAAACATTAATCTACCCGAAAATGGTGACATTTATATTTTTTAGTGAATTTCCGGCGTATTCCAATCCCAGTACAAAAAACTGTTTCAGGAGCTGAAAGGGACGCTGAAAAGCGCCAGCAAGCTGCCCGGAAATCCTCCACAAATCGTCGAGCTCGTGTCGGTGGGGCGCGGAATAGTGCGCATCGAGAATGAGATTACTGTCCCGCATATGGTAAGGAATCTCATTATCTCACTATCTCTCTCTCTATCTCTCTCTCTCTCTCTCTCTCTCTCTCTCTATCTCTCTGTCTCTCTCTCTCACTCTCTCTCACTCTCTCTGTCTCTCTGTCTGTCTCTCTCTGTCTCTCTCTCCCTCTCTCTCTCTCTCTCTCTCTCTCTATCTCTCTATCTCTCTCTCGCTTCATTGTTCCTTTAGGAAACCGGCCAGACCTACGAAGTGATCCGCACCCATTCGGCCGACGGGCCCCCGAGCCAGCCCACCAAGCTCACCCAGCGGCGCCTCAGGTGATTTTAAAGGGACTTCCAAGGCAAAAAGATCACAAAAATATTTTTGTACTTATTAATAGTGAAATTTCAATATACTTAAAGTAGAAAAAGTATCCAAAAACTTTAAACATCTTTAAAAATGAAATTTTTTTGTCGAAAGTCGGTCTTTTTGATTTGATGTTTTAAGGGAATTTACAGAATCCATAGATTTCAGCCTTGCCGGCACCTTTAACTCCGCTTTTTAGCCTGGAGCCCCGCCCGGCGTCATCTCCATCCCCTGGCGGCCAGCCCTCCCGTTACATCAGCCGATACCGCAGCGTCTCCCCGGTCGTCACCAACCTCGCCTATCGCTCCAACGGGCCCGAGTTGGTTTTAGGCGAATTTGAATTCTCCGCAAATGCCCTTTGCTAGCTTTCTTGGCAGTAGAAAATCGATTTTCAGCAACGTGCCGCATTAGAAAATTTGGTGAAAAAATGTGTTCCAGAAAAAATCCAAGAAAAAAATGTTCTCGGAGTTGTATTTATGATATGATCTGTACGAGACTGCAATGAAATATGGGAAGTTTGATAGAATTTTACGCAACTTTGAAAAAGGAAAAAAATCATAAAAATAGTGTCGAAAATTTTTTTGCCTTTTCTCAAAAGCGTATGAATAACGACAAAAAATTCGACAGATTTTCAAAAAGCTACAAGAAAACCGTATAAACATACATTATACTATTTACACTGAATTATTTATATTGGCGATTTTATAAACCATCGAAAAATAGGTTAAAACAGATGTTCTGAGCTATTTTTAATAGACGCCTAAGATTTACGGCCGAATAATGAACAAAACTAGGAGGTTATTGTCGTCGTAGTTTTGTTCGTATTTCTGAGCGCATTTAGTATCTTTCTTACATTATTATAGTGGAAAGTAAAAAAATGTTTTGTATAAGCAATAGCAACGAAACATTATGATCTGCTTAAGGAAAAGCAGTTTACACCCCCCTCCCCAGCCGACCCCCAATTACCGTATCTAGGCTCCCAGTTCATCTACAGGGCTGGGATTCATATCAAATTTACACGTGTAAAAATGGGCAAAAATTTACACACGTGTAAATTTTTTACACGTCTGATTTACACGTGTGTAAATGAGTTTACACGCGTAATTGTGCAATTTTAGAGGGTTTTGGCGGCTAAAAAAGCTTTTACACGCGTGTAAAAATATTTACACGCGTGTATTTTGGGGACTTTGCGCGGGATTTTGAAAAAAGGTGAACAGAACATAGAATAAAGAGAAGAAGGTATAAAAATGCAACTTGGCAACTTTTTCTTCAAGGTTGTGGGAGTCGGCGGACGAGTTAGTGTTTTTTTTTGCGTCGGCGGACGCTTTTTGTGATGGTCCTCAGCCAGTCCCAGATCACTAAAAGTGCTCCAGGGCGCTTCGATTAGAGCATTTCTAACCTCCTTCTAACGGTATACTTAATGTTACACATAATGAATCCATTTCGCTTGACACTGAGTATTTTGGAGTGCCAACGACACCATGCGAACGAGCGAAAAATTTCCTTCCCAAAAAGTCTCCAAAGTGGTCCTTCGCATTCAACAACTTCGAATAAAGTTGTCAAGCAACGCCCCAAATGAGTTGGGAGCTGTTTGGCGACGTTATTTGAAAATACTTGGAAAATGATGTCTGCGCTGATCAAAGTAGCCTAGGGCATATTGCAGTGTAGAAAACGGGGTTTGGAAATATTAGAACAACGAATTCTATGGTCGGTAAGGGTAAAATGCATGCCTAAAATTTTACACGCGTGTAAATTTTTACCTAAGAAATTTACACATGGAACAGACGTGTTTTTGGCCCAAAAAACATGCTTTAGAAAAACCTTTATTAAAAAAATTCCAGGGCACTTGGGGGTCCAAATTTTTTTCGACTAACTGTCAAGACCCGTCGCCATCTAGTATCGCTTCAAATTTTACGCAAGGATGGTTTTCCGATTTTCTGGAGGGTTTCAAAGTTCGTGTGTAAATTTCGGCCGCTCGCGTGTAAATTTTTCGGTTTTTTGCTCAACTTTCGCGAAGGCCATGTTTTTTTACACACGTGTAAAAAAAGTTACACGTGTGTCGAAAAATGGTAAATATTTACACGTGTGTTTTTCGTCTCTTAACAAATTTGTTAACAAAAACGTCGAAATTTACACGTGTAAAAATTTTTACACATGTATAAAAATTTTACACGTGTGTAAAATATTTACACGCGTGTAAAAATTTCTGGCGTGTAAATTTGATATGAATCCCAGCCCAGGTGCGTAAAGTATACCAAATACTCGCCACAGCAAGACGAACATTTTGATATACTTTACACACCTGTAGATGAACAGGGAACCGAGATACAAAAGTTGGGTGCCGGCTGGAAGGGGGGTAAAACTGCACTCTAACCGTATATTTTAGTTTCATTGGTCAGATAGCCACAACATTTTTTTCCAGTTTCCGCTCCCCTCGTACGGCTCGCTCGCCGAACTCGCCGGCCAAGTCGGGCCACGCCTCGCCTACGGTCAGCCCGAACACACAGACCGCCAGGGAAATCGAGAAGCGGAAGGAGAAGGAGAAGGAGGAGGCTAGGTACTGTAACAGAGTGCCAGCTGTCATGCTCCCTTTAAAATTTGTAGTGTCCGCAAGACACCTCTGGACACGGCCCTCTCGCCGTTCACCAACTCTACCTGGAAATCGCCGGTTTGCCCGAGGAGTCCGGCTAGCAATTCGAGGTAGAGGGAGAGAGAGAGAGAGAGAGAGAGAGAGAGAGAGAGAGAGAGAGAAAGAGAGAGAGAGAGAGAGAGAGAGAGAGAGAGAGAGGGAAAGAAAGAGAGAGAGAGAGAGAGAGAGAGAGAGAGAGAGAGAGAGAGAGAGAGAGGGAGAGGGGGAGGGAGAGAGAGAGGGAGAGGGAGCGAGCGAGAAAGGGGGAGTGAGAGTGAGAGTGAGCGAGGGATAGAGAGAGGGAGAGAGAGAGGAGAGAGCGCGAGAGAATGAGCCAGCGAAAGAGAAACAGAGACAGAGAGCGAGAAAGAAGCCTTTTTTAGCTCGGAATCCCCATCTGAAGCCGACCCGAGCGTGTGCCCCGTCACTGGCGTCTCCATCGAGCGCCTCCGCGCCGCGTCCCCCGCTGAGCGGTACTGTATTTTCCAATATTTTCTGGTTCTCACGGTATTTATTTCCATTTTTTTACATTTTAATTTTTAGCAGCCGTAATACGGTATCGACGGTGTCCCTCGGCCGCCCGTCCCGCTCCCCGCGCACCCGACTCTCCAGCGTCCGCACCGCGTACCGGGATCTCAGGTACTATAACGGGCTAAAAACTTAAAAAGGCGTTTCGTAGAATGTAATTTTGAATTTGCTCTCGACAACAAGCTAATTAAATTTGAATTAGTTTCATTTATGATGGGATTTTAGCTGAGTGCAAAACCTTGTTTTCTATTCCGCAACCTCTCAAAACTAAATTAAAAGTTCACAGTTTAAATCGTCGGATGTTTTGTCGAAATGCTAGTATTTTTTCTAGGCTTTATTTTAATAGGCGGAGAAATGCGGAGAGAACGCTTGAAGACCGAAGAATTTAATTTTTTTCGTGGAATTTTCCTGGGTTGATGTTTCATCAAAATTAAAATCTTGTGCGCCAAGTTGCAGCTTATTGCGCCGGCATTTTGATGAAAAGGAATCAAGGGTAAAATTCTCAGAAATTATTAAGTTCCGTTTCTAGAAGGTTTGAAAGTTACTGTTTTGAAGTTTCTGGTCTACTTGCATGTTTCATCCTGTTTTAAATATTCCTCGCACCATTTCACTTTTTACAGAGAGCGGAACGGTGGCAAACTCACTTTTTAAAACCACGCTCCCAGTTACCGTAACCTTTGAAGGAATTTGCATATTTCCAGCGGTTCCACCAAATCCGTGGGCAGCCGCTCGCGCGGCTCGTCGGTCGCGTCGCGTGCCACTTGCTCGGGTCCGGCCAAGTAGGCGTTTTTTGGGTTGCTGTGATTTGGGAATTGGAATGTCGAAAAGTGGCCGAAGTTTTAAATTTTTTTAATTAAATTTTTCAAGTTAAAGCTTTACGATTTTAATTTTTGGGCCCATTTAAATTTCGGCTTTCAGCTGTGTTTTTCGACAAAATTAAATTTCGGCAAATTGACATTTAGACAAAAATGTCGAAAAATTGCGATTTCGACATCCTAATTTTCGACAAAATTTAAATGAACGTTTATTTTATACAACTACCTAATTTTTAGTGGCCTTGGCGGGCAGCGCACCCCAGCCAGCAAGCAGGAGGAGGTGGTGAACTGCTCGACAAAGTCCGGCGCCCGCAGACTGTCAACTGGATTGTGCGTAGTTTAGGTTTCCGAGGAGTGTTCCTAAAGAATCTCTGCTAGCCTCTGATTTACAAAAAAAGGCGGCAATCGGTTTGAGGGGCTTATTCCCGAAAATCACTTTCTCGACAAGTAATCGCTTCGGAAAACATTTTTTTCGAAAAAAAGTTCGAATTTTCGATTTCCGAATGTTTTAAATTTTTATGGAAATTCTGCAACCTTGCCCAAAGCCCAAATTTTTTGTCTGCTAACCTGCCCGTTCCTCGAGAATCCCTGCTAGCCTACCCCATTCTCACCTGCCCTCCTCCAGCCCGACGGGCCATCTCCCCGGCGGCACCGGCTCGCCCAGCCAGTCCAAGAAGAAGCCGTCTCCCGCCAAGAGCCACGCCTCGACCTCGCGCTCTTCCAATTCATTGTGAGCAACGCCGGAGATCATATGGCCCGAAAAAATTATTTTTAAAGCCTTAAAAAATACGAAACTTAATTGAAAACGAAAAAGTGATTTTCAGAAAGTAAAAATCTATGTTTCAAAAAATTTAAAGCTAAAACGTTTACAATTTCTGCATTACAGGTTTTTCTGTGCGTTGATAAAACTTTGTAATAGCTCTGAAGATTCGAAAAATGCCGAAAGCTTGTGAATTTATAAGTTAAAAAAATTTTAATCAAAATTCGCATTTGTGGCGATTTGGCTACGCTATTATTTTTTCTTTATTTTATGCTGATTTTCACCTAATTTTTACTACCTCTCTCTAGCTGCAAGACAACCCGCTTCGCATCGAAGCCGATCGGCTACCCGCCGCCCAAGCCCACCTCGCAGCACTCGTCGTCCACCTCATCCAAAAGGTGCTCTTTTCGAGCTGTCTAGTGGCTTTAAAAATTTTATTTTTAAGCATTTGTTTTGTTAAGTTTAGAAAAGTCCTCAATATTTCAATAGCTCTAAATTCCGCTTTTTTCAGCTCGAAATGCCGCTCCACCCGCTTCGCCGCCGTGCCCTCGGTGCTCAAGTCGCTCAAGTGGGACCCTAACTTTTTTACTAATTGAGTTAAAATAATTCTTTTGCGTCCGGTTTTGCGAAAAAATGTTTTATAAATTTCCAAATTTCGACCGGCTGGAATAATGGCTAATGTTTCATCCTCAAATTTGACGATTTTCACACGTCGAATTTCGAACGCGGGAATAATTCGAAAGTTCATTTTCCTGGCAGGAAATTTTGTGATAATTATTAAAATTAATTTTGCGAATTTGTTAGACCAGTTTTATTAGCATTTTTTATAATCACGTAATTTAGTTAAATTCTAAATTGCATCATTTAATTTAATTAACGCCTTTAGATCGCTCAGCACATCGGCCAGACGCACCCCGAAAAAGGTAATTCTTTCAAGTTTCGCTCAAATTTCCCAATTTTACAGAAGGGCAGCATCTCGCAGGCGCCGCTGGATGAGACGCAGCCCATCAGCGACGCCATCAAGTGCGTGGAAATATATTATATTATTATTAATAAATATAAATTTCTAATGTCCGTACGTCCGCCCGTCCAGGAATTCAGCCAAATTCTGCATTCAAATTGCAAATTGCAAATTGAAAATTTTTGTGGGGGTGGGCAGGCCAGCGCTGAACCCCCGCGTAGCGGGGGGTCAGCGCTGGTATATTAAGAATTTTCGATTAAGACTACTAAAATTATTCAAAAACCGTATGATTTTTATTCTTACGTGCGAAAGAATGTTTCAACGTTTTCCTTTTAACCCATTCTTCTTTTTATTTCAATTATTGGTACTGACGCGTTCATACGTTTCTGCCCAAAAACACGTCGAAAAGCCAAGAAAAATGTCTGTTTGAATCGATTAAACCTACAAAATAATGAAAATTGAATTGAAAAGAATGTTTCGAAACATTTTGTACATCAAAAAATCTTGTTTTAGCAATTTTTTAGGTACAAAAATTATTTATAGTGAGGCCATCGGCGTCTCATGCGCGTCGAGCCCACGCACCCAGCTCACGCAGGGTGGGTGGAATTTCATTGTGATTCTCCCCAAAGAATCCCTGCTAGCCTGCCCAGACTAGCAGCTTGCCTCTTCGACACTTCCGCTTTTTTTAGCCACCCAGACCGAGCCGGGCAACAACTCGGCCGCCCGCGACACCTCCGCCACCACGCCGGCCAACCGCGTGGCCAAGCGTTGGTTTTAAAGCTATTCTTGAGCATGAAAGTTTCGGCAAAATTAGTTTTTAGGTGGAGAATTCTATTTTTTCGACCGGAAACGAAAAATTTGCGAGTTTAAATTTTTTTATAATTTTCAAAACTATTTTGGCTTCAAGCTGAAATTTTACGAAAATCAAGCCGATAAAGGCTTCTATTATAGTGCTAGGCCTTACAAACATTTGGTGCTTGTTTCTTATCAGCGGTGAGAATTTTTTTCAAAAACGCCCATTTTTACAGCCGTCCACCACCACAAGCCGCGTAAATGCTGCCCGAAATGTGGTAAGTGATGCACGATTCGGTCGCATGCCTGGGCCAGCTAGCCGAGACCGTTGGAGACACTCAACTCCGATTGCAGGCCACGACCTCAACAAGACGGGCCCGGTGTCGCCGCTGAAGCTGAACCAGCAGCAGCAGCCCCAGCGCGAGCCCGAGCCCACCACCGTCAACCCGAACATCTCCATCGTCAAGACCGACCAGGGCAATCGGCTCAGGGTATCCCTTCAAGCGATTTTCTAAACCCTAACTCAACTAATTTTGACTTTTACGCCTCTACCTATAGCAAAAAATCTGAACGCGTTTTATAGCGTTCAGATTTTTTTTCAGATTTTCAGATTACGTTTCAACTGCTCGGAAATTACGAAAAATACCTTTGAATTTCTTAGCCATCTTCATACGCCTTTATTTTTATATGTTGCAAAAAATTTGTTCAGAATAAAAAAGGATTACGCGGAAGTTTTCTTTTCTCCAGGTGCTCGTCCGCGTCGACGGCTCCCAGGCGGCGGTCAACGTCTCCGGCCTTCGCGCCAAGGTCATCGTCCGCGCCAGCGGCGACCTGAAGCCGACCAACGTCGTCGTGCGCCCCGTCGACAAGAAGTAGATGAGGTATTGCTAGATGAACTTATTGGACGAAACCTCACATCAACCCTTATGAACTTGCTTTAAAAATTACGTTACGTGTCGGGGATGTTGAGCTGCACCTAAATGGATTCGAAACACAAAAAAAACCTTTTTTTCCAGATTCCTCGTCCACTTCGCCTCCGAATCTTTCTTCTTAACTCCTCGTCTCCCACACCCAACTCACGCCCTTCTCGCAGACCGCCTTCACCGATTCTTCACCTCTTAAAAAACATTAAACGAGCATTCGCCTTAACCGCCCGCCACGGAAGTCGCACGACCATTTTTTGTCCCGAATAAATCGTGTTGCGATGATGTACATGTGTGATTTGCAAGGTTTCATTCGATAGACTAACACAAAAACAGCAAGACAAGCGCTTCAAAACAAAACAATAAATCGAATAAATTGTATTTGGACTAGTTGAGCTTGAAAAAAAAACAATAAAAACCACATAACAAGCTATAAAAAACCTAGAAATACCCAGAAAAATGTGAGCTATTTCTCATCTACATGCCGGCCGTGTTCCACATCGGGATGACGTATGTCTCGTAGGCGAACTTTTCTCGGTGTGTCCAGTCCTGAAAAAAAACAAGCTTTTAAGCAAATAAAAAAACGTGAAAAAATGTCCCAGTTCTAAATTTTGAAAGTGATTGGCAAGGCACGAATATGCGTTTCCTATGGATTTTGACGCATCTATGGAATTCTTAAAAAAAATCTACACACCTTGACGACGCCGATGAACTCGAGCTCCAGCCTGAACGGCCCGTCCACGCGGTCCATCAACATGCTTACTGGTTTTCTG